GCAACAAATGGGCTTGATACAATGATGTATGTATGTACTGTGATAAGAGCTGTATGAGGCCCTAATAAAATGATTTTTTAAAAATGGTTAAGAAAGAAGAAATGGAAAAGGGAAACACAGAGGAGGTGGAACAAGAGATGTTACACTGTCATCAACAATAAGAAACAATCTGTATGAGTTGCTGAATGAAAAGGGATTTGCTCTGAAATTTTCCACCCAATTCACAATAAAAAGTTGCTTTATTTTAACAAAAAAAACCTATTAAATTTTTAAAAATTGTAACAAAATAGACTTATCATCATTCAAGTATTCAAACAGGGACTGTATTGCTACTAACTAGGTAAATTATGGGTAGAATCCCAGAGTAAGAAGTGAGATGGGCTTACTCTTATGGTGCCCTTCCAGCTCTAAGATCTCTAATATTTGTAATAAAGAAAACAAGAACCAAAAACAGATATACAGGAACTTCTTACTTGAACATATTGAGTTATAGGATTCATCATAGTTGGAGGCTGCATGTAAGTTTCAGTGCTTGGATTACTCCAGACACTCTGGAACTGAGGTGGTGGAGGAGGATTGAAAACCAAAGGACGTGGCTGCACATGATAAGCGCCTTTTTTAAAAGAGAGGGGGAAAAAAAGCCTATTTTTAATTATCTGAAAAGCTATACTTACGTCAACAACAATTTCTTCTTTTACTTACACAAATTTTGTTTCCTAATTGCAGGGCCCAGTTTTAGCTTTTTGCCATGAAAATTTATCTGTGACTGAAAATAAAACATCAAAATTAGAGTCAATTTTTAAGCCTTTAAGGCTTAAGTAAACACCCCTCTTATGAATTAAATTGTGCCTGGCCCTCCCTTCACCCCAACCATATGCACTGGAAATCCTAACCCCTACTCCTGTAGATGAAATTTAGGAAAAGTGTTTCTTTATGTTAATGAGGTCATATTTCTGTTAGGTGTGCTTCAAATCAGTCACTTTCAGGTAGAAACAATTAGACAGAGAAGGGAAAGAGCAGAAGTAGGGGAAAGATCCAAGATAGCACCAGAAGCTTTTTAAGGAATACCAAGAATGCAAAAGAAAAGGCCTCTCTCTCAGAGCAGAAACAGAGGGCCTACTCCTAGAGGCAGCAATCAATTGGAACGTCTAGCCTCTTCAAACTGTGAGAAATTAAAATTCTACTCAATAGAAGCCGCCCACTTGTGGCACTTTTACTATAGCCCACTAAAAAACTAAGGCAAGCTCAAGTACTCTAAAACTCTTCCTATTAGAGATTCATTGTGAGAACAGTCCAAATCAAAATGTGTCACTATGAAGGCTTAAAAGGTGTCAAATGGAATTTTGGAGGAAAAATATCCTTTCACTTTGTCCTCATCCTTTCCTGTCTCTCTGTCATGCAGTTAAGTGTCTGGTAAAAATTAAACAAGTTCTGACAAGTCTTGTAGGTATCGCAAGTCTGGATTTCACGCAGAAGTGTATCTTTTTCAACATTTTATATATTGCTCAATTTAGTCTATACTTACGTGAATAAATATTTTTTACCATGACAAGATTACTTACTTCCACTATTTTCTGCACATCCACATCATTATAAAATGAAACAAATCCATAGCTAGAAAGGTAGATAAAAGCGTAAAGTCACCACCATATAGTAACATGGTTAAGAATTAGTATAATATTAAGTAGTAGTGGACAGAAATGACAATGATAAAGGATTAATAAAAACTAAGCTAAATATGTGTCAGATGTATATGACAGATTATCTGGAAATATTTTGTTTTCTCCTGACCATAATCAGTATCAGAATAAGGCAGGGTAAGGGCCCCTTTCATCAGCAGAGACTCATCCGCAAACCCAATTTTAATTTATTATAATGGTAAAACTTAAGATGCTGTGCAACTAAGAAAACAATTATTTGATAAACCTGATTAATCCACTTATACTAAATAAATGAAGATAGGTTATATTTAAATACAAACACCAGGAAAATGATTAAATAAAAATCTAGCAAATTCTTAATTCTCTACATGAAAGAATCAAAGAAATAACTTTATTCATATAAGAATGCCAGTTTTGAAGACTTCTCTGATATTTCATTGACTGCTTGCTGTCCAATCTATTCCAATTCCTAACAACCCTGTGTGTTAGAGAACTGCATTCCACAGGGCTTTCAATAGCTGGTTTTACTGAAACAGATCACCAGGCCTTCTTTTGGTTAGTAACAGTGTGTTAACCGTTTACACCAGCCAGTGTGACTTTACAGATTCTAGGGTTCAGGTAACTTAGATAATGTATACTGAAGGTGAGGATATGGATTGACTCAATGGCCGCAAGAATAGGCTCATGCATATTGATAATTCTGAGTATGGCCCAAGACCAGGAGGCATTGCTCTCTATTATACATAGGATTTCTATAGACTGAACTGACTTGATGCTCTACCTAGTAACATACTGAAGGTGTGTTTTACTCACCCTTTAGACACACCAGTTCTATCCGTGATTATCTTCACTTCTTTTACCGAACCATATTTAGCAAAGAAGCCTCTAATTTCTGTTTCGTCCATCTATGGAAAAGAATTTAACTTAAAAGAATAAAAATTCAGCATTCAAAATTTGAATTTAACTATAAACAAGGTTTGGTAAGGTGGAAGTATCTTTTCCAAGTATCCTGAAACTACTGTTAGCACTTTGTCAAAATATTTCTAGTCTCTATGAGTTAAACATAAAAGCAAATCCAAATTAGCATAAAGTACAAAAAATCCTTAGCTTGAAACAGGGCAGAGATCTCATTATTTACAACATATCCTAAAATAAAAAATGAACACCATACCCTAACATCAATTCCACCAACAAAAACCGTATTTGGCATGACTTTGCCTTCTGGTAAAACATATCCTTGGCTGGTTGTAGTTGATGAGGACTGGGTGCTAGCCTCTCTGGAGATGGTTGAGTTTGGAGTCTCAGCACTTGCAGCAGACTGTAATTTAGAAAGCAGACATCATGATCACAAACCCAGGCAAAAAACCAAAAAAATTTTAAAAGATCAACCACCAGACAATGTGAAATATAATTTCTATATTTCAGGTACAAAATAATTTTACATCCTTACTTTCATTGTAAATCAGCCATCACTACAGTTTAGTTCAGGACTCAGGATTTAAAACAATCAGGATAGCTCTCAACATGAAATTTTAACAACAGGGGGTTATAATTTCTAACTGTGTCACTGTTAATTGTTATGTCTTACATATACATTATTGAACTAGATTATCAAGATTTTACTGAATCCATGAACTGCCTAAAATATCTAGAAAATTTAAACTGATAAAAACTAAAGTTATTAAAATCATTCTATAGTTTATGCCAATAAACAAGCTTTCACTTACTAAGTACAATAATAAAAGGCATGGCAATTATTTTCTTACAAAGTAAATAAGACTGCAGCAAAACAAAAGTAAGTACCAGAGTTTTAGAAATCATTTTGTTTTGTCTTTCTATTCACCAAAATTAACATGTACTATGTATCTAGAACACCCCCCTCTGAATATACTTGCTTTACTTTAGAAACGGATCATGTAAACATTATTTGCTCAGCTAACATATAATTTTTAAAAAGAGCTTGTAACCCTCTTTTCTAATGGTAGGGTATTCAAAAAATCTTTTGAAACAACATTTTTCTTTCTTAGTAACACTAAAGCAGTCCAACCAATAATACTAATTTTCATAGTAGATTGATGATAAATGATACCATCTTTATTTTCATATTACAAAAAAATACACAAAGCCAAAAAAAAAAAACCCAATACATACAAAGCACATATTTTTAACTGGACCCAAAGAAAATTCTAAGGTTACCGTAAAACTTCTGAAACAAAATTTACTAGTAATATGTATGTTGGAAGAGGTAGTACAACATAGTGAAACAAAAAGTGATTTAGTCAGAAGATCTAGGTTCATGTCCCTTACTAGATTATAAGGCAATAATCACTTGCCAGCTGTGTATCTCTGGGCAATTGTTTTGAGAATGAAATGAAGTAACATCTGTGAATTCATTTTGTCAAGTATAAAGTTCGATGCCAATATAAGCTACTACCCTATTATTTGAACTTTATTCTTTATAGGTTTTTTAAAAAACTTCTTTCCTAGTTTTACTATCTGGTGATTTATTTTGGAAATTCTATTTTAATTAACAAAGTTATTTAGAATTTCAAGAGAATATTTTATGGCACACTCATTCATTTGAAATTCTATTTGAAATATTTATAGATTATAAGAGATAAACACAAAAGGCTGCGAGAAATATAACTACTGCTCATGAAAGAAAACAAAAACAAAAGAAATGGACAGATTTTCAAACAGGTTAGCACTGTGGTCTTAAAAGGAATAGCAACATCAAGAAAGTAAGTAGAATTCTTGTTTTGTTAATTAAATACTAGAAGTTAATGATGAATTTGAGATTTTACAAGGTCCTATATTTTTCTCTATTACTATATTGTGTTTGTTTAAATACTTTTTAATTCTTTTCTTTACCCATGATATAGTGATATAGCAATAAAATAGGAGAGAATTTAAAACATTACCTCTAATTTTCTTTTAATGTCTTCTTTAATTTTTCTTTCCCTGAAGGGGAATTTATTACATAAAGTACCTATCGTCAGCTACTGAGAAGCTGACTTGATTTCCCTTCTCTATATACAGTTTACATAGAAAGACAAAGTTTTCCATTCTAGTAAAAATTTTAAAAGTTGGTCTCAGAAACCCACAGGGACACTTTTACCCCTCCTATAGGGTCACTGAGAGTCAGAATCGACGTACGGACAATGAGTTTAGTTTTTTTTGTGTGTGTATATACAATTTAAGGAGCTATGAATTGTAATTGACTTGATGGCAATGAGATTGTGTGTGTGTGTGTAGCACAGTGGGTTATGGGTTGTGCTTGTCACAAGGCCAGCAGCAGTGAGAATCCACCATCTGCTTTGCTGGAGAAAGATTTACAGCCTCTGGAACCCACATGGGGCAGTTCTACGCTTTCCTACAGGTTTGCTATGTGTCAAAATCAACTTCATGGCAGTGAGTTTTGAGTTTACATATACAATATAACAATTTCTTCTAAGCTCAAAAACCCAAAACACATGTGATCCTGTAACTCACACAGACTTTACGTACACCTTCTCAATTTACTCCTTGATTTATAGATGAACATTGGATTTTATTTGATAAATTATCTTCGATATTACTTATTTGTACACAATAAGTGGATGGAGGTATTTTAAACTAGTAGTGCAACATTCAGACTGAAAACCATGCCAGATTAATGGGGATTGTGATGGTGTACTTTCTCTATCCCAGTGGCACTTGTAATGCCTGTGAGGAGTGCTACTGGCCTCTGGTAAGTAGACGCCAGAAATTTTACAATGCCTCCCACAATAAAAACTTTTCTGGTTCAAAATTTCAATCAATACTGGATCATAGTGACCCTCTTAAGGTTTCTGAGACTGTAACAGTTTACGGGAATAGAAAACCCACCCAGTCTTTCTCCCTGGGAGGTGCTGGTGGTTTCAAAGGGCCAATTGCAACCCAAAGCATAATCATTACATCACCAGGCTCCTTCGCCAAAATAAAAGAGAAATATTATTCTATAGGAAGAACTTGCTTTTTGTTGTTCAGTGCAGTGTTTTCAAAAAACGGTTCCTTTGTATGGAAAAACAAAAGTGGTAGGTAGGAAAGGCTCTCATAGTTTATTTACAAAATAAAGTGGATTCCTGAGAGTAATTTGGGAAATGGGGGAGCTGTTAGTTATATTAGGAATTATGGCTTTGACTTTAAATTTTAAAATCTGGTTGCCCACTTAACAGATATTAAATATGACGTTCACCAAGTCTTAAAGATGACATTACTGTTTTACCAACTTGCCAGCAGGTGGTGCTCGAAGCTAACACAGTAAACACACTACAGGCACTATCAGGGTTACTAACCAGATCTATTTCTCAAGTCACATTTTTAAGTCCATTGGACAGGTGCACACCGCTCTTAGACTTACTTCAGTGCAAGAAAAGACTCAAGTCTTTTCCATTATTTTCAAGCTGCACATTCAGGAAGTAAATTAATCTGATGAGTAAGTTGTTCCAAGTAGGGAGTGGTTCAATGATTTAACTGATGGCAAACTTGCTCAACATTAAAGGAGAACTTCAAAGATGGCCACCAAGCACACAATTCGAATAGTGTGGCACTCCATAGTTCTGCCAATATTCCAACTCCTCTGCAGGCTCCTGAAAGGACTCACTGTACATACTTCTTCAGAATCTCCCATTTCAGGGGCTTGGACTCTTAATTTTCCTGCTCTGGTTACCATGATCAAGCACCCAAATTATGAAAGTTCTAGTCTCTTTTGATTCCTTTGCCATGACAGTATCAGTTTGAAGTCTTGCATTAAATAGAGGTTATCTGGAAGTCAGTCATTTATAACCTGGGGAATGCCTGGACTTCTCTTTGTAACCAGAGTGAACGGCAGGGATACAAGTATATTTAGATTCATACTATATGTATGTATACTATATTTATGTATTTATATGTAATTATAGTTTGGTACATTTTAAACTACAGCCAAATATGCTCTACTAAATGCTTAGGCTTAGTAAAGAGTTTGATGCAAAAATTAGGACTGTATCTTAAACTAGTAAGAAACTCAAACCTGTTACCACTGAGTCAGTTCCAGCTATAGTGAGTGACCCTATAGGGTAGAGTAGACCTACGCATTAGATCTTCAAGGTTTTAAATCTTACTAGAAGAAAATATATTCTTTCTCCCACAAACCTGGTGGGTTCGTAGGGCTGACATTTTGGTTAGCAGCCAAGCGCTTTATTTAATCACTATGCCACCAGGGTTCATATAGAATATAAAATGTACTTAATACAAAAAAGTAATTAGTTTTCTTAGTGATACTTGCAAGTAAGTTGGTGGATTTTAAAATGAAAAAATCCTGGGAAATTATTTACATGGGGTGGCGTTTAGAGGTCCCCATACACACAATTCTCATCATTACTTATGGTAGTATGTGGAAGCTTCAATAAATTCATGGAAATTTTCTATTTCTTAATTTCATTTCCAATGAACTTTTTAAAGTCCTCTTGTTCGTCAATTTTATTTGAATAACAGGTTAACAAAAAGTTAAAATTTAAAATCACTATTAAAGCATAGCTTCTGGGATTGTCAGTTCCTTCCATAATATCATTTTGCTGGGTTACCGTGTCTACATGTAAGCAAACTGAGATCTATGTATATTGACACCCCCCCTCAAATAAAAGCTTTTTCTCATAAAAACTAAATTTAAGGAAACAGGGAACTGAAAATCTGAATAAATCTATAAAGAAACTCAAGAATTGGTTCTTGGGACAGGGGAGATGAAATCCTAAAATAAACAAACATCTTGGCAAAGCTAGACAAGAACAAGAAACAACAAAATATGTATTCATCACACAAAAAAGAACAAGCTCTATAAGAATAAATTGGAAACCTTTCTAGAAAAGTACAAATTTTCAAGTCAAAGCTATTTTAGGAAAAGAAAGATATTTAGCTAGATTAATCAATAATTACTACATAAAATTCTCAAAAGATGTCTGGTTCAATTTCACCAGTAATTTTTTTTTTGTCTTTAAAAGAACAGATAATCACTGTTAATGTGTGTGTGTGTGTGGGGGGGGGTTATAGGTGGATGTCTACTTTCTTAAGTCGATTTTTTTTCGAATTCGTAAACAGGCTTTGCTTATCAAAAATTTAATAAATATCAGCATTTTCTCCCTTTACTTCTAAAAATGGAGGAAAAATTATTCTAAATATAATAATCCAATTGTATAATAAACAATGAGTAAGTGTATGACCCTACATAAATTAGCATGCATATGTTATTCTAATCTGTCATTTAAGATATCTACATATAAATTGCTCATCAATTTCCTCCCTTTACTTTTAAGGATGAAGGGAAAAATTAGAATTGGAAGTAAATAGGAAGCGCATATAAGACACCACTGTGACTTAGGGCTTGGGCAAGGGTTCAGAGTTCCATCTAGGGGAGGCCGTTAGCCAATTCTAATCCCTTATCAAAACTCCTAAAGGGGCAATACGACACGAGTACGCACTG